GCTTTTCGGGGTTCGCCCTCTAGCAAATGGAAGGATGAGCTCTTTTTGGTCTGGGCCAATGAGAGAGAGGATGGTGTCCTCAGGGACCAATGGCAACATCTTTTCCCACCCCCTAACGGAGGCTCTGGGCGGGGCTGGAGGACTAGGATGGGGTGTGTGTGTGTGTGTGTGTGTGTGTGTGTGCGCGCGGGCGCGTGTGCACGCAGAGGGGTGCATGAGTCTGGGGGTGCGGCTTGCTGGTCCTAGGAGAGGTGGGAAAGGCCGCCTGCACCGCCTGTCCGCTTCCTTTCACGTCACTTCCCCCCGGGGGTATGATGCATGGGATCCTACTGAGCAGCCAGCCGTTTTTTTAAGTTTTATTATTATTGTTGCTGTTGCTACGCCAGCCACGCTCCTAGGCGCTGTGGGTGAGAGCCGACGGCTCAGACAGTCCCCGGCCTTTCAATAGCTCTTTTCGTGCCCAGCGTCCCTGGGTTTGTCCCAGCGAGAACTAAACACTTCACTTCCTATCCGCGCCTCGCTTTCTAGCGGTGTGATGACTAACGGGTCCTTCTAGCGGCGATTGGAGTCTTGCCTGCTCCTGGGAAGTTCAAATAGGTTAATGGAATTAAAGCGTGTAGAGCAGGTTGTAAAAAGTTCTCCCAGTAATTCCCTGTAGCATCAGTCCTTGAATGCCCTATTATTTATTCCTTTGGATTCTGCGCTCATAGAAGGCAGGGACTTGATTTACCTAGGTCCAGGAGCCCTCCTGAAAAATAACATTAAACCAGTCTCCGTGGGGATGTAGCTTGGGGCAGGGCAGGATTGGGAGCATTGGGGCATTGGGGAGGGGTGTTGAAGCTAAGGGAAACCCTGCTTCTAGAATGGGGAGACCTTTACTGAGGCAAGAGTCAGTGTGGCAGGAGCCCTGAGCTCAGCGTGGGGGCTGAAACCTGGGAAGGGATGATGACTGGATGAAGTCTGAGGCTGTGACTGGACATGCCCCCACCCTGACCCAGCCTACCCCTTCTCAGTCTGTGTGTTGGGGAGCAGCTGGCCCTGTGGGGATGGTGGACAGATTCATCCCTAGAACTTGTGGGACGCCCCCCCCCCAAATAATCCAAAAAGAGGTGGGAGAATCTTCTGACGGGCTGGTGAGGGGTGGGCAGTGGAGGAGATAGTGAGGGTTTTCATGGACCAGCAGCTAAGAGGGCACAGAGGCTCAAGGAAGCTGGAGGTGTCATTGACACCATATGGAGGGGTGTGTGTCGGTATTAGAGCGTAGTTTCCCACCGATACCTTGGGGAAGACCAAGATAGTGTTACTGAAGACTGGAGAAGAACCAAGCAACGCTTAGAGATGTGGAGTTACACTTTATTATTATTGTTGTTATTACACCGGGCCGA